CAAATCAAAATAAACCATTCGTAACGACCACCAAATCCCAACGAAAATAAACACACACTCGGATTGCTAATTGGCAGCGATCTTATTGGAAGAGCAAGTGAGATGGGGCGAACACAGAGAGAGAGATAGCAGCCACCCAGGGCGTTAAGTGGGCGGCGTTTGGCAGACCAAAGGCCAGAGTGGAAGACCCTGGTATTTCAGTTTTTTGTTCGAATTTTTTAGCCTGCGCGCGCAATTTAAGTTGAAATTTATGCGCAGTGCGACGGGAAGACGCATTAAAAATGGAAAGCAAATGCTCGGCTCAATGTGTTAAACGGCACATGTGATTTAAAACTGTATTTAATGTTTTTATTATTTCAGATTTTGTTCCACAAACGAATATATGTATATTTTGTTTTCCTTGCCATTTGTCTTCGGCGAGGCGTGGAATATTTTTGACATAAAGGAATTTATTAATTTCGCTATTTGCCTTTTGTTTCGGAGATGTATATTAATGATTATGAATACATTCAGCGGCCTTAACAAAACGAAAAAAATCTAGGATGACAAACAAAATCATAAACTACACAATACACCATCGCAGATGTTTGTGCGATTGTGTTTGGCACAATACATGTGCATAAAATATTTAGCAATGCTCACACGAGCTTAGATTGCATAATGCATATTTTATGAATGTTTTCGTGTTGGTCCTTGCTCCCTCCCCGGCTTCCCATCCTCCGCTTTGTTTCTTTCTGTGCCAAGTCAGGTCGCACGAAAAAGTGTGGAAAATAAAAATAAAGTGCGCTGCCACGGGTCGAGAGAAAGAGAGAAAGAGAATGTAGCAAATTTTAAAGCCACTGCGGTAACAAAGGCGAACAAACAGCCAGCACATGCCACAAAATATAGCCACTTCCACTTCCGCTTCCGCTTCCTTTGCAACTGCAAAAATCAACGCATCGCCCACAGTGTTCAACTATTGAAAAGAATGTTGCATTTTTGAGTCGAGCTTAAGCCCAGAAACTTAAAGCTTAAATTTAATATTAATTTAGACAAGAAAATAAAATAAAAACAACTAAAAAGCCAGAGGCAAGAGGCTCTTGACTATAACTCCTGGAATCGTTAAGTATGTATCCAATCATTGTATCTATTAGATATCTATTTATATATTTTAAAGAGGTAGGTTCTGGTTTGAAAAAGATTAACAGATTAACATTCGTAATATTTTATTTTTAATTATAAAGATGATGATTAATATATACTTGTAATGACAGATATTAACGATATACTTACACTCATAAAATGTGTTCAGTATGTAAATAACGATGACTTGCAACTTTTGTAACGAATACGAACCTTAAAGTTGGCCAGAAACCGTCGCTTCATTTCGGGGATGTCAGAACCAGTTGGGAATTATATGCGCACACGTGCGAGACTTCATGTTTTGATGCAAAGTGGATATAAAATGTAATACTTAAACGTTACAAAATACATAATACATAAATTAATATTCTATTTAATATATCGGTATGATGATGCTTATCCAGAAAATTATTTATGATATCATTTATGATGTCGAAAATTACTACATTCCAAGATTCTTATACAAATTTCTTTCTTATACTTTTTGTGATTAATAATTTAATATTAATTAAATTTTTTCAATAATCCCGATATATATTTACCAACTTTTATCCTCCATTCTTATATGTTCATACATATTCTCCCATAAAATAGTCTCTTAATGCCACTGTGCGGTGCTGCCATTGTTGCCGCTTTGTTGGCCAGTACTTTGGATTTCCAGTTTTGGCCATGTTTGGCTTGCTGGCTACTGGCTGAGTGCACAAACACACACACTCGCACACCCATGATGGGCGACCAGCAAGTGTGGGGCCAGTGTGTGTGTGTGTGTGCCTGGATGATGTCAATCCATCATTTGCCTTAACACCATGATTTGTTTATTTGACGAGCTGTATTAAGAGAAATGAAACACAATTGCCATTCGAGCTCCACTGCTGCTGATTGCCATAAATAAATAATTTTCAAATCAGACACTGGCCAAATCCTCGAAAAGGATGGGATAGGATATGTGGAGCCTGATGCTTGCATGCCTGATTAGGTCCTCAATTGTGTGGATAGTTTTGATATGTTATAATCAAGGCAAGAGGGAAGGGAACCTGTATTAATATTAAATCAAAATAAAACATATGCTTAACGGTAAGTGGAAACTCTTGTCACCTGACACACCTGATATCCTGTTCTACCCGAATTTATAGCCCTGTTTTTTTTCTGTTTTGCTTTGTTGTGGCTAATAAAACCCAGAGAACAACTTTCTTTTTTAATAAGCCCATAAAGTAACAGCCACTTAAAACTTGTTGTCTGCCAGCAACATCAATAAACGAACTCGAAAGGAGCTGCCAAATAAGCCGTGAACGAGTTCCGCCTCTGTCGATGCCACATAAACGTCAGTGCCACATCGTCATCCTCCTCATCCTCTGCTGCTGCCAACCCTCCACTGTCTGTTTATAGAAATTAAATAACTTCTGACAAAATATGAACACAACTCAACACTTGCCATATTGAACACAATGACACTTCCCCCTTTTATTTTCTCAAGACCCCGCCAGACCTCATCTGAACCCCAAAATTGGAATGCTTATAAATCCCGGGCCACATTTGCCACCGCTGCCTCTTAACACTTTCATCGTCAGGCCAAGTTGTTAGCATATTTTTAGTGTGATTTTAAAAATTTAAATTGTCGTAATCGTAAATTAATTTCATGGCACATAAAAATGCAGTATGCCATACCCGAAAATACAACACAACGACGGATACAATGGTTTTCTTTGGGCCATGTTTGTTTGTTTGTTTTCCTGTCCCCAAAATGATGCTACGTTTTATAACGCAATATATTCAAAATACATTTCCTTTTTTTTTATTGTTTTTTGAGTGTGCTCAGTTGGCAATCGGCGTTTTTATACGAGTTTCATTTGAATACCAAGAGCAGCTGAATTAATCTTAATAAAAAGTTTGCATAAATTTGATTCAAGAAATTATTAATGAATTCGATTTATTATAGTAACTCTTACAGCTTGATATTACTTATTATTAAAAGCAATAAATGGAGATATTACATTTCCACAAAAAGATATGTAGTTGCAAACTTAAAGTACTTTTGTTTTTGAAAACTTCCCAGCATCGAATACTTACTCAAAGCAGGAGAGTTTATTATTAAAGACAAATTTGTATTAAAAATTGTAATTTAATCAAACTTTGCTTCAAACTGTTCTTTCTCATACTTTAATTCATAAAATATTTTATTTGTACCATTTCAGTTATGAACTTTGAATAACAGTTTTTAAATATATTTATATTAAAGTTAAAGCATAGTCTAAAGTATTTTTAACATAAATACCTCTAAATGTCTATGACTTGGAAATAATTGTACTTTTTAGAGGATGCATTAAAGAGTCGTAAAAGCATTATATTCAACAGTATCTTAATGAGTTGTGTAAATTATTTATGCCCGCCGACATTCGACTGCACAGGAGTCGGGCCTGCATGCGATATATATGTCAACGCCTCATAATAATTACGGGAAAAACGGCGAAAATGTGTTGCAAATGTATAAAGTTATATATAAATACACATCAAGTGCAATTAGGCAGGAAATGCCGGCATATGCCATTCGGTAATTGTTTCCTCAATGTGACAAGTCTCTCGAAGGTGTGAAAAATCGTCCCTCAGAAAATATCTATTTATTTCTCCCAAACCCCAGCTATATATTAATGATGAATTAATGCGGTAAATGCAACTTGTAAATCTGTCACGCGTCTCAGTAAATCATCCTGCATAAGTAATGTGCAGTTTAGTCCAGAGAAGAGAGAAGACACCCAGCCAGTCATCCAGAATCGATACACCCCTGGAACCACTTTGTCACTCGAGACACTGCAACAGATGCTGAACAAGATGGGCTCGGGGCGGAGTCGGAGGAGTGTGAAATTGTGTGCGCGGCGACTGAAGGCGGTCCGCGGCTAATCTATGACAGAAAACATGTAATCGGAGCAACCAGACAAAAATAACTTGGAGCTACTTGGACTACCACAGGGACTGGGATCGAAATTGGTAGTGGGATCGGGACCTTTGTCTTCATTTGCAGCTCTTTACTTTGCAATATTCCCAAAGGTCTGGCTCTAAAGTCCCTTGGGCGGTGATCGTGCGCCCAATTAAAGTCACAAACTGCATTTTACAGCCGAATTTAGTTGTTCAAATTAATTATGGTGCACTTGGAAGAAATTCGTAATTCAACATATAACAAATAACTTCAATAGGTATCCTGCGAGATGCAGATAAGAGGTTGGAAATCTATTGGCTAATAATTCTCACGTTTTTTAGAGAAGAACCATTCTATTTCTATTTACTTTAAACCAGTCTAAGTTATACAATCTACCTATAAAATTCTCTGCAATTTCACCAAGGATATACTAATGAAAAATTGATTTCTTAGCCATGAAAGATGGGTACTTCTGTCCATTGCTTAATGTCTCAATTCGGTAGTTTCAAGTGACATATTAAGTACACATAATTTCTCTCTGTGCATGTGCATATGTAGCACTCATCCCCATTGGCAGCTCCGTCTGGGGGCGGCACTTTCTTTTTATGACTGCTCTGCTGCCGTCGAATAAGTGAAGCGTGAACTAATTGAAATTTGTTGCGCTGACATGTTCTACAAGATCTGGTTGCCGCTGGGCGACAGCCTGTAGACGCTGCCCTTGTCGATCGTCTCCAGCTCATTAGCCAGCTTCCCGTTGTAGTTATTGTCTAATTTTAATTAATTTATCACAAGCATAAAGTGGCGCAACTTGTGACATTTTCCCCCAGCGTTGCCCCCGCAACAAATCACTCATACGCCTCGGTGACCGCCTGAAAGTCTCTCAAGGGGAAGCCACTGCTGCTTAGGCATAAATTTCCACCACAGATTCTTGGGATTGCTGGGCAATCAAAATGGAATTTACGACAACTTGGGAACGGATCTTTTATTTTGACATGCTTTACAAACAGACGAACTCGCAACAGCTCATTGGATAGCATCATTTTGGTTGCCGCAACAGGTACCAGCCACTACATTCAACATAAAATGTATGAAATATAGAAGGAAATCGTTAACATTAAAAACTAAACTTCCACAGATTCTTCCAGGTCTCCCTCTTGTAGACATTCTTGTATGTCTGCACAGACACTTGAAGCTCCGGACCAAAGGGAGTGTCCGCCTGAACATGTTCCACTGCCAGATTTTGGTTTGTCACTGAGTGAACAATAATCACGGGCTCATTTACCTGTAAGATTGATACTTCATAAGTAGGTTATTATGGAAAATTAGTAAATAATTAACAAAAAAATAATTAAGAAGGAAGCTAAATTCTGAAATTTTATAGGATCGAAATTGACTCCATCAGAGCAAGAGAAATTCCCTACCATGGCATGTCTATGCAATCAAAGCATACTTTTATGCATACTACCTTAAGAGTTTAGATTTTTATTCAAACATAAGTAAATTTAAATATTGCTACTAAATATTAATCTAAATCTTCTTTTTATAACAATTTAAACAAATTTTACCAACTTACAGGAATGGTTTTGCCCTCGCTTTCGTAACGCAAATCGGGATTCTGGTGGGCGCAATAAAAATGAGTGTGAGAAATGGGCACTCGAGCATTTGGTCCACAATTCTAAATTAATTAGCAATAAATTAGAAGTTTAAATAGGAATTCAGTAATTAGTAAGATTAAACTTAAATAAGACCGGCACCTTACTAGAGACCACGCCCAGTGGAAGAGTTAGCTCGCCATGATTGGTTGTACACCGAGCCGTGTTCACAGGCAGCGATAGATTCAGTAGCTTGGGTCCGGTGTACAGGTACATGGGCTCATCAACCGGTTCCAGGGCCTGGAGGCGGAACTTCTCACCATAGCCCAGACACTGGCCAGAGCGATCCACATCATCTGGGCTGACAATACGAAAGCTACTGCGCACCATGGGTCGTGGTGCGGGTGCCACCGTCATGTCGCACATCTCATTGATGGTGGTAAACTTACGGATCATTCCCTCCTGGGTAATGATCACCGATAGGGCCAGATTCTGATCCACCACCTGCTGGCGACAAATGCTGATCTTAACGGGGCGCACCTGAACCGTAACCCCGAAGGCGACCACCTCCCGTGGCGGTCCCAGCATGGTGTCCTTGTAGAAGAGTTCATAGGCAGCCCGGGTGGTGTCCAGTAAGGTGTTTCCACCCTCTTTCATATCCTTAACCCGATTCTAACCAGGAAATAATAATATTTATATTTATTTGTTATAGTTTATATCATTTTAAATCACAATCCTGGGAAATGCTCACCTCCTCTGCCAGGGCAGCTTCATGCCAGTAGCCAACTTTTACGCCAGGACCGTACATTTCTTAGTAATTTAATTAATACATATAGAGTTATATTATATTATATGTTTTTAATATATTATACAACTTTTGGAACATATGTGTTTTTTTAGTGACAGCATAGTAACTACCTACTGATGAAAGAGGTACCTTGACATTATAATGCTAGTAAATAATAATAGCTCCTGTGGTGATATTTAGTAAAAGATCTTTAGCTACTAAAATAATATTTATTATAATACCTTTCGCTCCTGAAATAAAATATATGAACAAGAATAATTTCTAGATTTGAGCTTAACAGTGTCATAAGGGCCTAAAAAGGTGACCTTAATCCTTGCAAAAGATCGAACACACTCAAAAGTGTTATATCATATATTGGGTTTATGACACTGCTCCTTATAAAATGTACCCCCTTAAAGGTAATGGAAATTCACCTCCAGAAACAGATCAAAGATAGTTTTTTGCTGTACCCAAACCACACACAAAGCCATCGCACCGGCAACTAACCGAGCATTAAATTTGCATGTGGCGCTTGAGTGTCGGCCTCGGCTTTGATCCTGTCAAAGAGGCGAAAATAAATTGCTCAATTATGAAATATTAACTGCACACGATGGCGGCGAGTACTCGAGTGAGTGAGTGAGTGAGTGAATGAGTATCCACGTCGCAAGTTAATTACTCATTTGTTGATTGTCGACTGTGGTTAATGAAGTATCCAACTAATTACATTTCAAGACCAAACCGAGAGTGCGCATGTCGCTGGGTCTCTCCAAGGAATTCCTTTTGCTCACATTGAAAAATGCCGCTGCGGAAATTGAAAGTGCCGCGGGCCTATTTCCACCAGCTGCCGAGGAGTCGACCATTGGGAGCTGGGACAGGGAGCAGGAGCTGGAGCTCACTGACAGCAATTTATTACCTTTCCCTTTGACATCTTGACGCGGTGTCGCCATCCCTCCCGCATCTCAAGTAGTTTCCTCTGTGGGGCTCTGGAATTACTCGCATTCATCTTTTGACAGCGGAAAGTCATCGCTCTGGAGTCTAATTAGATTATTAGTCAGTTCGGTGTGATGATGGGCGATAGTTCCTAAAGTAGTCGGGGGATGTATTCGGAATGTGTTGGGTTACGAAGGAAGTGCTCCGAAATTGGGAAGATTTTAGAAAGGGCTTAACTGTTTTTAAGTATATTAACTAATTGATCATGTAGAATTCGTATAGATTTCCTCTAGAAAAATATGGTATTTTCAGTGATATTTTAATTTGATTATTAAATCAGTGTTTTTTTAAACCCTTGCAATTATCTTTTTTAAAACACCTTTTTAATTAATTTAATCGCTGCCCTTCACATCCTATCTTTGGTTTTCTCAGAGGACATATATTTTTCAACTAATTCCATTCCCAAAGGTGTATGTATCACAATCAGCATCACCAGACGAATTTATCTAGCCTTTGCATCCCGCATCGATGAAAGGTATAGCCCCCATATTTGGCACATTTACTTCCGAAGAAAAAAAAACGATTAGAAATAAGTATCACTAACCCAGTCGATTTAGCCATGTTCGTATTTCCGTGAATATATCCTTCCTTCCGTGTGGAACAACATATCTCAGGGAATAAGAAACCCAGTTACCAAAATTGGTAACAACATTGATGTTTAGAGCACTTAAAGTTTGCTTTAAAATATATATTAATATATAAATATATAAATATATATAAATATTTTGCAAATAAACTTCAAAGTTTTTTCTTAGTCTTTTATTTGAATTTCCTTTTTATTATATTTATTTTTTGTTGGTTTTCGCTTAAATAAACAGGAAACAATTAACTTAGCATTATTTTTACAATTAGCTTTAATTAGAAATAATAAAAAATATTGAAGCTTTTCGTTTTTTTGTTTTTTTTTCTCATTTTTCTGTTCTGTTTACAGTGTTTATATGTATGTATTTATAGTTTACAATAATTAGTTTAAATGGTACTGTTTTATATTCAATTATTATAGGTTCGCATGTACTATATATACATTTCGGCAGCGAGGAGCGGACTCGACCCACAGCCAAATAATCCTGAATATATATCGCTATATAAGAAGTTGATATTTGGCGTTGTCACATTTCCACTTTTTATGTTACAAAATTTAGTTAATTCGACTACTAAATATATAAATGTTACACAAGTTGTAGGCTTAATGCTGCGCTGCTGCTGCTTCTTTGTTTTATTTGATTTAAATTTAACTTTTTGTTTAATGTATAATTCCATTAATTGTTTTTACGTTCTTTTCTCCTCTTCCTCTCTTTTTTTTTTCTTTAAGTTTACAATTTTCGTTAGAATTTCTTTCTGTTTCTTTTTTTTTCTCATTTTTTTATGTACATAAAAACAAAAGGAACTATATATTTCAGTCTTTTTAGTGTGTGTGTGTGTGTGTGTGTGTGTATGGGTAATGTATGTATGCGTGTGTGTGTGTGTGGGTGTGTAGAATATCTATTGTTTTGTTATGCAAATAGCGTATTACATAGTTTAATTAATTTAATCGTTTTGTTTTTTGTGTTTTTTTTTTAGTTTTTAATTTTTTTTTTATATTATTTTTACTTCAGTTTTCAGTGTAAATATCGCTTGCTTCCCAGTTTTGTTTATATAATTAGCCCTAGTTCTTCCTTCTCTCTTTGTTTACTTTTCTTTTATTTGTTTTAAATTAATTCAAGTTATTCTCTGCCTCACTCTCTCTCATCCTTCTTACATGCGTTTTTACAATCTAAGTATTTTGTATAATTCATTTAAATATTTAGTTTCCTTGTTTCTGCTTTGCATCTATTTGTGTATAAAATAAAAAACAAAAATGAACATTGTTGCACATGCGTGTGTGGTTTTTTCCTTTTCGTTTCTGCTTTTCTTTTCGTTTACTTTTCTTTTTCTCTATGCTTTTGTCATACGTACATATATATATGATCTATATAGTTAAATATATTTAATAATATAAAGAGCGAAGGCAAATATCGAATACTTTTGTTGTTGTTGTTGTTGTTGTTACTTTTCGTTTAAAAATTCCATTTGCTTTAGTTGTTTTGTCTGTTTTGTTTTTTTCTATTTGTTACCAAGTGTGACTGTGTATTTAGTTAATGTTGCTAATTTTTTTTGGGTCCGATTTTACGAAGAGAATGTTGGGGATGACTTTGAAAGGGGATTTTTTTTTGGGGGGGGGGGCGTTTGGATGAACTGTTCAGGATAGTACACTCAGCAAACATATCACGGTCAGTTCTTAATTACGTATGTGTAAATGTGTAAATATATATGCGGTATATATGGTATATGCAATCTTTTGTCTATTGTTGTTGTTTTGTTTTTTGCTATTGCTAGTTTATTAAATATAAATATATATGTGTGTATATGTGGTAAGAAAAACGAAAAATCCGTCCAGTTTCTTGTTCGTATTTGAGTTATAATGGCATATGGCAGAATAATGTTGTTTGCTATGGAGTTTTTTGCTTTTGTTTTGTTTCGTTTCATTTATAGTGTTTGCTTTCATGTATATAGTTATAGTACATAAAATGCTTTTGCTTCCAATATATATAACTGGTTGTATATATAAAAACGTTAGCAGATTGTATACAGTGTTATTATTTATGATGCATCAGTTACTTAAGCTCTCAGTTCGAATTACATTATGGTTTTTCTTTTGTTTTTATTTTTTTTCTCCTCTCTCGAAGCTTGGCTTCAACGAAAATTAATTTAGAAAAAATATATGGTTAAAAAGGTGAACAAAGGGTTATTCCATTCTTTTATCCTACATGATACGCCTTATGTACAAATAAATATTACAATTAAGCATAAACAAAAAGGAGAAGAAAAATGTAAGAGAAACTACTACAATGTGTTTTGTGTGAAAATCAAGCAACACTTGGCGCTAAAAGTTAACCCATACAATTATCATATTTTTCTGATAATAAAAGAATAATTATGCATAATTATGGTTATTATTGCTAGCTAAAAACTCAGTGAAGACAGTTATAGTTTTGTAATTTTGTATTGCTTGCTGTGTGTGTGTGTGTGTCTGTGGTTGTTTTGGTAGGTACTAATAAAAAATATTATCGTAATTAATATATGTATGTACGTAGTAGTTATGAGTTATGTAAGTTTAATAATTGGTAGAAATTTGTATGTCTATTTTAAACGGTACTTAGGTTGGTTGGTTGTTGGCTTTTGTACTTTTTGTTATTTGCATGTAGGACTTCATCTTCTGTTTTGTTTTGTTTTGTTTGTTTTCTTCTGCTTTAACTATGGTTTACTGCTTCTCCTCTCTGTCTCTGATTTTTCTATTGCGGCAGTTTATTAATATATAAACAAACACAACAAAAAAATAACTGTAGCGTAAATACTAAACGAAATACGTAAATATAAATAGGCTTAATCGAAAAACTATTGGGTATTAAACATGTACAGTGGTTTCTCAAGAACCAATCTTCTCTCTAGAACGAGGTGGCGTTAGTAGGTAATCTTTGAACAATTTTAGTAGAAGTAGCTTTGTAATAAATAATGTTGCCATGTTCAAAAGTGGAATGACTTCCACAGGCTCGCTTTCGTCTGTAAAAATTAACCAAAGATTAGCTCTTAACCCACGCTCAGTTTTGCAGACATGGTCCAAGTCCAAGTCAAGATTGCTACACTAGATCCTAGTGATCATACTCATACTCCTCTATGTACACAATTCTCTCTACCAGAAGTAGAGAGAAGGATTTAGGAGGTACTATAATTACGCCTCCCTGCCAATGAAGCCATTCGGTGGCGGTGGCCTCGATGTTCCACTCGCCGGTCGCAACCAGCTCTCCTTGAGCAGATTGGACATGTTGCCAGCCGTTGTGGCTGTCGATGCCAGACCAGAGTTCGGGTTCGTTGGCGACTTCTTTCTCGTTTGGCTGACACTACGACTCCGACTTGGCGGTGCCGACCTTTGCCTGGGTCGACTCAGTGGCATTCGCTCCATCTTGATGTGCTCCACATGCTCATCATCGACATCGTCATCCTCGTCTTCCTCCTCATCCGCTTCCTCCTCCTCATCTTCATTCTCTTCGGAGGAGCTGCTCTGGGTAGCATTTATGGGCGCCATCATGGGCTGATAATTCGGATTGTGGCTTATCGTAACACCGGCCATTTGGACAGGTTGCGTTGGCTCATTCATGGCCACATAGTTGGGATTATCTGTGGTGATACCACCACGATGACTGAGTGGCTGTGACTTGGGTGGCGGGTGCATCATCTCATAGTTCGGATTGGGACTGCTTGTGGTCAGAATGGTGGCCTGCCCATCGCTGCCCATCGATTCGTCCAGCAGGCGGTAGTTGGGATTATCGCTAATCGCAATTGGAGTGACCGCTGTCGGGGTGTAGAATCGTGGCGTCCCCGTATAACTGCCCGCTGAGCCACTGCCACCGCTCTCGATGGTTCCCAGATTACCCATAGCCACCGGATGGCTGGTCAGGTTGGAGTTGCTTGTGCTGGTGCTGGGTGCATTCGAGGCGTTGCTCTTATGACTGGCATTGCTGCCCGTCCGCTTGTGATGATTGAAGAGATGACGATTGATCATGTTGGCTCGATTACGCAGCGTATCCGCCACCACTCGCTTGAGACTGGGATAGCGTCCGGTATGAGAGCTGGCATTGGAGCTGGCCGCCGAAGCGGTTGAGGGTTGCAGCGATGACGATCCGCCACCTCCGCCACCTCCAATCACATCGTCTGGCATTGAGCTACTCATTATGACCGGCTGTCTTCCGGCTTTCTTTGGCAGCAAATGCTGCTCTCCACTCAGTCTTCCACCTCCACCGCCGCCCGTGCTGCCACTTCGACTCGTTGGCAAGTCGGCGAAATTGGGACTTGGATCATAAATCTCATAGGCACGTTCGTTGTTGTCCGGATCCGGTAAGACGTAAGGCGCCGCTGCATCATCACTCTGCGAGGCGGGTAGATTTTGGAATGCAGACACCATCACCGTTTGATTATCCGGCGTGCTGCTGGCTATGAATCCCGACTGCATGCTGAATGGCGAGTGCGTTGCTTGATGGTCATCCACAACCAAGGCAATGGGACTCTCCGCTGGTTGATCTAGGGAAGAGTTCTGCTTGTAGGTCTGATAGTCGCCCATCCGCAATGGTGTGGTGGCATCCTCATTCTGTTCCGCTTCCTGCTGGTCCTGATCCAATGGCACCGCCGCAAACGCATCCAGTTGGCTGCGCTCCTTGCGCTCCTTCTCACGATGCGTCTGACCGCCCTCCGAGTAATAGAAGGAGACCTTCTTGAAGTCCGACTCGGGACACAGTGGCTCCAGATAGGCAATTATATCGAGGAAACTGGGCCTGGCTCCAGGCCGATGATGCCAGCAGCGTTGCATCAACCGATGAAGCACATCCGGGCAGTTCTCTGGCCTCTCCATCACGCCGCCTTCGATGACGAAGCGTAGCACTTGCTCGTTGGAAAGTCCTTGATATGGTTGCGACGCCAATGTGGCCATCTCCCAGAGAACCACACCGAAGCTGAACACATCACTGGCACTGGAATAGACACCGTCACGCAAGCTCTCCGGGGACATCCAGCGAACGGGCAACAGACCCTTGGTACCCTTGCGATAGTAATCCGTTTCATAGACATCTCGCGTCATGCCAAAGTCACCGATCTTTACGGTCAAATCCTCAGCAACCATGCAGTTGCGAGCAGCAAGATCACGATGCACGAACTTCTTGGCCGCCAGATAGGCCATGCCATCTGCAATCTCAATGGCCATTTGGTAGATTCGGCTATAGGTCGGCGGCTGCACATTGCCCGTGACCCCAATCCTGGTCAAATAGGCCATCATGGCTTCGTCCCGATCCTCGGGACGATGCGCTCGCAGATATGACTTGAGATCGCCCTTTTTCATTAGCTCCATGACCACCAGAGCGGGCTGACCGCGGGAGCAGACACCTAGCAATCGGACCACATGGTGCGTATCGAACTCCTTCATCACGCTGGCTTCGCTCAGGAAGTTTGTCCGTTCCTTGTCAGTGGCATTCTCGTTGACAGTTTTAATGGCACACGCGCGATCCACAACGCCATTGGTGAATGACTTGATAATGCCTTCGTACACCATGCCAAAGGATCCTTGGCCCAGAGGCGCCAACTGTATAATGTTCTCCCTTAGCACCTCCCAGTCATCAGGGATATACTGCATGCTGGCATAATATGGATTCACCTCTGTGTTCATATGTAAATCATTTGGTCCTCGTTTCTTATGCAAGTATCGGATGTAACCCACAAGGAAGGCAAAGGCCAGGACAGTGACTATGACCGAAACCACAGCGATGGCGGTGTAAAAGCTCAGCGGAGGCTGTTTTTGAAATAGAGAAAAGAGTTAGCTAATTTAGTAATCGTTAACAAAGTTAATTATTAAATTCCCAACTCACCGGTACAATAATGGAGATATAATCCGTGTACACTCCATATCCTGCCAATGAATTGGCCCGCACTCGGATACGATATAGTCCTTCGCTAACGCCTTTAAGGGTGTATCCATCCGTGACGCTATAGTTAGCCACAGGAATGCACTTGGTCTCCACCACCGTGTCCGGTTTCTGCAATTGGTATTCCAGTGTGTAGGTAACAATTTCACCATTGGGATCGAGCGGTGGCAGCCAAAAGGCTCGCACAGCGGCACGCGTATTATTTCCAATTTCCAAAGCCAAGGTCAAATTTCGAGCCAAATCAACGTCCTCTGAAAGAGTTTATAGTGTTAGTTATTGTCCAGATGAAAACTAATTAAAATAATACAAATAACTCAAACTGGGCATCGCTTAAATGCTTCTCGCTCAACTATTTTAAAAAATAATAAGCCATTTATATATCAAAATATCTCTCACTTAAATATAATTTATATGCGACATACACATAATTCTTCGACTTACCCCTTTTCTTAGTTACTTTATAGTTTGTAGAGTTATTACTGCAGGATTGCTCCTTATCATTTGCAATCATTTCTCTACAAACACTTATGTAGATGGTGTACCGAGTGAAATGATGTAAATTTTCAAAGGTAAAGTTCGTCTGATTGATCGGCACCACCACAAAGTTATCCGTAAGGTTTACAATCATTTCATTGCCTTGCGTAACATTCGCCGTTTTGGTTAGGTTTACAGCCTTATCCTTGGTGGATGTGGTGGAGCGTACATGACGGAGCAAAACACTACCAAATCGCTCATCCAAGTCGGGTTCCAAGTCAATGGCTTCTCTCCGTTGGCGGGAAGGTGGATTCGCAATAGCATTGGAATCAAAAGCTGCACCACTTCCTGGTTTAATAACTCGAGGTGCTCCCTTAGCCGGTGATCCCGACTTGTTTCTGTCGACGCCAAGAAATTCACTTTCTTTTTTTGGAACATAGATAAAATTCTGCAGGGTATTCTCAAACTCGATGAACGATTGAATCCTTTGATCGCTGTAATTCTCTTGACTGTTCTTCTGGGTACCAGTGGAATCACATTTGCAGTCACCGGCCAATGGATCCGGCTTTAAAACTGGTTTCGGTGTCTCAAGTTCGGTATCAATGTCACTTGCCTTTGTAATAGCTGCAAGAATACAATTTTTGTGTTATTAAATTTCCCAACAAATTGAAATATATAACAATTTATAGCTTACGACTCTCGCAGTATTGTCGTTCTGATGCCATATCCTTGGGATTGTTGGTATGTTGTTCATTCCGTTCCGCTATGACCAGAAAATGTGTTAGCTTTCCGTGTGGACTAATTGGATAATCCCAAGTCACGTACTGCAGAAAGTTCATAATATTATTAAGCATTTAAGTAGCATAAACATTTCTTACAATTTTCGAGTCCGAGATGGAAGTGAGCTTTACGCTGGATACCTGTGACGGCTGAGCGGGTTTTGTCATAAAATGCTGCACCTCACTTTGAGCATTTGTCAGCTCCGAGAAAATGGCCTTGGTGCGTACGTAGTAAGCATATTGTGTGTATGGTTGTAGATTCATAAAGCTCGTAATTCCCTTCGTATCAGCTGGCACAAATGTCCAGGGATTATCGCAGAGCTGCTCGTTGCTCTTGGTAGCATTACCATATGGATCTATCATGTAAAAGAACTCGTAACCAATAAAGGCGCGAGGATCCTTGAAAATAATTGTGGCATTGCTTGGCCCAGTCGGTTCGCCCTCCGCCACCATCGATGTGTCCACCGCCAAAATGGCCATTATGGCGCTCACAGATGTCACTGAAACGTTCAAAGGCAAAGTGCCACCTGGGAATAGGATAGAAAATTTGAATTCATATTTTTCTTAAATCAAATTAGAGCCATTAAACACTCACATGAGCCACGACTTCCGTTGGAATCGGTAGCCACCTCGCTATTGTTAAAGGACTGCGGTTTGGAGGCCAGCATGGGCAGCAGCTTATTGATCGTGGACACGCACAGCTTTTGATTAAAGTGAAAGAAGACACCGCCATTCCTGATGTACACCGTCTGATTGGGTCCCCATATCTCCTCCAAATCATTATTCTCCAGCACATACAAAGCATATTGATTCTTGTCCATTGGTGGATCGCCCACAATTTCCGTCAGGGATTTAAAAAACCGCAGAGAGGTGAGGCCGAAGGTCAGATGCACTTTCAGGGAGGTTTTTATGGTACGAATTTGACCCAAATAAAGCTCCAAAGTGTCCATAACGTGGGCTGTAACGAAAAATACGTTTCAATTTCAGTTCAGGAGATGTAAAAATTGTTTACTCACCATCGCCCTCTCGCTTGATGCTTATCACCAAGGGACCCGTTGAATTTCCACCAATTACGGTGCAACCTTCGTATACCTTGGCCCTGTCCAAGCTTTCGATAATCCCCGCTTGGCACACCCGCTCGCATTTTCCATCCTTGCACTTGATACACTTGTGATTCTCAATCGAGTAACCCTTCGGGCAGCGCGTGGTGCACTGACCTGCAAAAGGCGCCAGAGGCTTGTCTCCACTGTCGAACCGAGTGCCAATTTGGATGCACTCTTCCGCCGTAATGCAACGCTTGTCATACTGCAAAAGATTTGATTTATTTAGTTGATTCACTTATTATACCAGAGATTCCAAAGACAGAAGTGCTTTCTCACCTGATACAAGCCCGGCGGACAGGTGTCCACACAGTTGGTGTTGTTGATCGATAAAAAGCGACAGCTTATGCATCTCTGGATCCCATTGTTGTCGAGGGTGCACCCCAAGCAGGCCTTGTTACAGCAAGTATTCTCATCGATGCAGTTATTCCGACACTCCTTGGGACAAACTGAGAGATAGAAAAAAAGGATCAGAAAAGGATGAAATGGATAGAAAAATGTCAATCACTCACTTGTTTGGCAATGCTTCGAGTCCCAGCAGTAGCGTTTGTGATTATCATGCTCCCGACAACCCCCACTTTGTCCTGGCACGCTAAGTGCCGTGGAATCCTGACCATCTCCTATTAGTTTGTCCTCCTCCGCACACTTGGGACAATCCCTTTCCCTGCCGTTCATCTGCAACACCACCTCCGACTGAGTGGCATTCTCGGCCATGAGATGCAACCAGTCTATCGTTTCCACATAGCATAGAACCCGATTTTTCTCAATCCGCACACCGCCGTGCGAAATCGAACGCAGATTGGACAGTCCCAAATTCACCAAATCCGGGTTCGAATATACAATGAAGGAATAGCCATCGAACAGATTATTGCCTCGGATAACATTCAAGTTGGGAAATATTTGCGATAGCGAATGTAGTCCGTTTACACGAAAGACAACAATGAAATCGGTGACCTCTTTCAGGAGGGGAAACGAATGATTTGGTCCTATGGTCACGTTCGTCATCAATGTGATGAGTAGGAAACCCTCGATGGTGGTGCAATTTTCCAGCAGATAAAAGTTTGCTGGTGTGTTTCGGATATCCATCGATTTGCAAGCTGTAGGAAGAAGAAAGAAAAGGAATATATTAATGCTAATTCCTAGTAATATCTCTTTTACTTCTGGGTTTAAAAAAGCTCCTCAATCTGCAGAATTTATTAATTTTTCATTCATACTCACTTGTTTCATTTCGTGACAATCGAACTATATCATTCGTTTGGCCCACATCTCTTCGCAATCTTGTGGATTCCGCAAACTGTTCCAACTTATCGGATAAATCGTCGTTGTTGTTGTTGTGATGCTGCTGCAGGTGATGTTGTTGGGGTAACAACATTCGCTGCTGCTGGTGCTTCTTCGTTTGCCCCACAATGACTGTGGCTGTGGCATGATTGGCCAGTAAACTGAGGCTTAATAATATCCATATCAGACTTTGATTCCAAGGATGGTAATTTTTGTTATTTTTACAATGTTGCTTTTCCGTTTGATCTTCAACTTTTCGTTGAATTTGATGTTGTTTCAGTTGATTATGTTCTTGTTGGTGTTTGTTGTAATTGTTACGGCTTAAACTCAGTCTTGTTGGTGTTGTTGTTGTTGTTGTTGTTGTTGTTGTTGCTGCTGCTGCTGCTGCTGCTGCCAGTGCGGTATTTAACAGCAATAGGAATTTTGTATAATTTACACATTTATCTTGTTTAATTGTCGCTGGTATTGCGTCCTCTTGTCGTCGGCGTCGCTTATTAAAAATGCCGCAATCTAACATCAACAACAACAGCGATTGCAGCGTTCGCAATATATTGTGACAATTGTTGTAGATATTAAAATAGTCGCGATGTCGACGATTGTTTTTCGCAGCATCTTCATCGGCGCCATCGTTCGGGCGATGGCCGTTACTTCGTATTTGACTCGTTTTGCCGGTTGTTGATTCCAGTTTGGAGGTTTTTGTGTGTGGAAAAAGAGTCCAACGTTCACTGCAAAATTTTAATGAAATTTAATTTTAAAATTTTGTGTTATGAAAAGAGTGGAAAACATGGCTGAGGAAAGCGGATTTCCGGTTTGCGTCTTGGTTTCTAAACTGCTTGTTGCAAAGCAGCAAGACAGTTTATAAAGCAGTGCACAATGTTGCTTACCTTTTAATACCAACTGCTTGCCGGCAGCAACATGTATCTAGCAGTATATCTTGCCGGCACAACACACAAATGTTGCTGCCCGTCATTGTTGATGTTGTTGTTGTTGTTGATAATACATCACCAGTCATTGTTGTTGTCTCTGTCTCCACCATTGTTGCTTTGTCGCGCTTCAACATAGTTTTCATCATCGTTTTCCGTTTCATTATGAACATATTCCGGTGTGTTTTCACCTTTATTTTAATTAGGCCATTTTTTGTATGAAAAAAAAAACAAACACCTCAAGTAATCATCTTCCGTCTCGCTCTTTTGCAAGCTGCTTGCGGAAAAACTTTAATTTATATTTTTTTATAGTCGTTTGGAATGATTTATTCTAGCTTTTTCTTCTCCTGTTCTCAGTCCCACTTTTGCCACTGTAATGAAAAAGAGAGAGAGAAGCAGAATTTTAGTTCTCTAGTAACAAAAAAAGAAAAACAAACACGAAACTAAATTAGAAAAGTCGAAGATTGTATACCCTTTATAAGCATTACTGGAGTTGTAAAGTAAAACATGAATTTGTATACATACATACATATGTACATATATAGAGATTAATACATATTATAATATAGACAAATTATACGTTTTAACTCGTTTAGATTTATAATAATACAAAATGTCAGATAAAAGGATTACTGGGAGTTTTAAAATATTAAACTGCCTGATGATGCCGATATAGCATCTTACTAGACTCATTATACTCTCTGTTAGAGTATGATAAACTATAATAATTACAGCAGCGCACGTAATTTTATGCGAGAAAGGGCGCCAAGTTCTAGGCACACGTGTCGTACGGTTTGCTATCGTCACCGGACGAAAGATCACTCAGTTTAATACACTTTTGACGCTCGCTTCGTTTTCCTTAATTATTGCACCTTAAATATGGCTTACGTGGTGAGGCAAAGATAAATAGCTAAGAGGAGTGAGTGTGGAAAAGCTATTTGCTAAACCTTGGAATAATATTGTATTGCGTGGAAATTTTGGGTGTCTAGAATGGGATTTAAATGCAATATTTGGATAAATCTCGCTGTACTTGAATTATTTAACAAAATTAATTAATTTCTTTATATATTTGTTTATTTAGTCACATAAACATAACACAAAATCCACAATTAAGTTTTAAAATCCTTAAACTTTGACGCAAAGTATGCAACGAAATATATTTTTAATCTACACATTCTATCTAAATTAAAAATTTTAATAATTAAAGAATCCTCTTATCTATACAATAAATTCAAAAATATACTTATTTTCCCTTATAACTTCACTTATAGCGCTATTTATTTTGGGTTTTTGGTGCAAAACTAAAGTTCACTTTCTGATTTACCGATAAAAACATAAACAATCAAAATTATTCTCTCAACAATACGAAATAACACTATATTAACAATTCTCAATCATTTTTAATTAATTTTGGGCAAATACAAAAAACAAAAGCAAAAACAGCTGAGAGACGGCTTGCTACTGTGGCATCTCGCTCTCGCTCGTTGAAGACCAAAGGAGAGAGCGCAGCTTTTGCTAAGTTAAGCAATAAAAATAAAAACAAAGCAAACAACAAAATAAATAATTTTATGCGCCAGACAGAAGAAGAATAGAATACCTAGAAAAATGGCCAGCATACGGCGAGTGATTGTATTTGTATGTAATGTTGTTGCTTTTGGCATTGACGTGTTTTCTTTTGTTTTTTTTTTTCTCCCACAGTGCATACTCATCGTTTGGAAACCATTAATACTAAATTTTATTTTTAATAATTTCAAATTTATTTTAGTCACTATTTTAAAGAGATTTTTTCACCATAAACAATTCAACATGGTCAAATCTATTTGTTATTAATACACCATATCGAATGGACACTGTATCCATATTTTCATGACGCGCTATGTTCGATTGACGTCGACAGCGCAGTCGCGTCATAAAGCGGAGTAAGTAAGTAGTAAGTAGTATGTAGTAAGTAGTAAGTGTAGGTGTGCGTGTGCGATTTTTGATTTTACTACGCTTGTAATTCATCAAAAGTTGCTCCCATTTTTTCTGAACAGGGTGACCTGTGCTGTTTGTAGTTTTCGGGGCGTAACATGGGAAAATGAAAATGCGACTGCGTGGCAAACAAAAACAGAAAACAAACAAGAGGGATGAGGAAAGCGGCAAAACAGAGAGCGTAAAACGGAGGGAGTAATAAACACCACCCACTCTGCATTGCTGATGCTGTTGTTGTTGTTGTTGCTAAAATTTGCTGCTGCGTAGTTTTTGGAAACGTAGTAGATGTACAAAAAAAAGAAAAGAAAAAACACACGCAATTTCTTTTTGTTTTGCACTTTTTTTTTCTTTTAGCTAGCCGAAAAAAGCGGCTCTCTTTGCTGTTTCTCTTTTGCACGCACACAAACTGTGGCTCTCAACAAAATGCTGCTTGTTTATTATGCTTGATTTGTTATTGTTGTTGTTGTTTTTATTGCGCAGTAAAAATGTCGCGCTATAAATACATTAAAATAAAGAGAGAAAACAACAACAAGAATAATACAAATGTTCAACTAAAATTAAATGTTTATAAGTCATATAAATTAAAAAGCCCCGGCAAATGAAAAATAATACAAGTAAATAAAAACAAGCGCTGACTTTTTGCTCTCTGACGCTCTCTTTGCTCTCTTCGCGTTTTTATTCTCTCCGCCTATAAATGCCTCTCAAAGCTTGAATCTCAAACGAAGACTCTCAAACTGTTTGATTTGTGTCTCTGTGTGTGTGTGACCTAGATTCCTTTAACTGTTTTTGGTTTTTTTGCTGTTTTAATTTTATCATTCAACTAACTAAAAATAAGAAGACAATTCCGGTGAGCAACATTTCCGGACAACACACAAGCACAAAAACAAAACAACATTGTCGAAAGATCCGACACTTGCAGATGCCCGATATGGCACTATGATAATTATAATTTTTAATGTTAATAACCATGCGCATGTGTTGGCAAAATTGTAAAAGAAAACAACAAAACTGGTGCACTAGCAAAAAAAATATAAGATATATCTATGGACCCACAAATTTCGAATTAAATATTAATACTTTTTATGTATATATGCCTGAATCATTAAAATGGTTTTAAAGGGTAAAATCCCCTATGATTTCAAAATAAATTAATCCATGTAATTTATATTAATATATTGGTCAAGCAAATAGAAATAAATCGAATATAATAAAATAATTTATTTAAAAATATTACATATTTTTTTTAAACTCTAATATGTAAATATTACAGTAATTATATGCACGTCATAAAACACATTGGTTAAATAAGAAATCGTTGAAACTAAACAAATTTTCATAGTAAAAGAAAAAATGCTTAATTGTGAGTTTCAAGAATATTTTTTTGCGTTGGTACAATAATTATTCAAAAATCTATATGTTCATAAATACGATCATTAAACTTTTAAAATAATACAATTTTGAAAAATGTACTGAAATGAACTTTTTTGAAATAATTTTTCCCTCTTTTAGAATTGTTTGGTTTTTATAAATAAATTCGCTACAGTGGCAAAAAAAAAACCACGACGACGATGGGCCGCAACGATAAGGGGAAACTTGCTTGGGCTTATCAGCAACACTCATTTACACACATGGAAATTAACAACAGACGCTTCGCTCCGGTGTCCGGACGCTGGCGAGCGTTTTATTGTTTAATTTCGTTTAACGCGCCTTGGGCGCCACCGTGCACGCGCCTCGTAAAAAAAGTGTAAAAGTGTAAAGGTGCAATTGGCACGCCTAACTGACATTTTTTGCCTTTTTTCACAACTCATTGTATTTTTGCGCTTTTTGTTTTCCATTTTGCAGCTGCAATGGCGAATAACAACTATAACAACAAAATAGAAAAACAACTCAAGAGGGGGTTTTTCTAGTTTCCAAATGGGAAGTACCTTTTCTATTTACATTTTATCGAGAACTTCCTAGTGTTTGGGATTATCATTAAGTATTGGATAAATTCAGATTTTGTTGATTAAAGTTTATTTATTTAAATGCTAAATGTTAATTTAGTTTGATTAAGTCCCAGCTATGATCGAAAAATGCAAACACCTGATAAACCTTTGGTAAAAGCAAATCGGTTGTCTCGGCACCTGTAATTTATCTGAACGATAATGTTAACAGAGTGCTGTTAGGTCTTGAATTGTACTACAAAGCGCAAACACTGGCAATGATTTAAAAGTACATTAACACAGATGTATTTATTTTTTCTTTTAATTGTTTTCTAAAATTATCTGTTTTTCTGTAAAGTCAACGACTTGACAGGGACTCAGAGTGTCCGTTAACGTTAGGTCTACCATTAACAATGCAGAAACCAAAATTTTTTAGCATGGATTTTATCTGTTAAGGACATTTTAACATTGAGATGAGAAATTGCTACGAAATGTATATTTTTGAGCAATTTAAATTTATAATTCAACATTCTTAATGAAAATAGATATCTAAAACCATATTTTTCTTGGGTTTCTAATGCTTTCTTTTGTTACTAACCCAAATTCCTAGAAGAACTTTTATGAAATTCAATGCTACGCACGCGCTGCACTTTGCTTTGGAATTGCTATTTTTTTCCCCCACTTGCCCCACGAAGCTTGAGTCATTCACGGGGGAAAAAAAAGGTGGAAAAACGGTCAGACACAAGTACCAATAACAACGATAATCATAACAATAACAATACCAACAACAATAACGACGACATTGACGCAATAACGGGCGAAAAAAGGCCCACAGAAGACTGGTCTGAAAAGAGCAAGAGAATCGGAGAATCAGAGACTCGGAGACTCTGAGAGGCCAAAGCCCAGCCGCATTCCGATCGAAAACAAAGTTGACAGACCAGTTAAGAAGAACAACAAACAAAAACAACAGGCCCCCAGAAGACATCGAGGAGATGGAGGAGCAGAGAGTTCGCTTATTGAAATATTTCCTATGCTCCAAATCCCAAAGTCTTTTGTTTTCCAACTTTCAAAGCAAACCGAAACGAACCGAACCGAACCGAATAATAAAATTATCGCATTATGATAAGCACGGATAGAGATCAGGCCAGACTCACTGGAGATATGACCAATCGAAAAACCTGATTGGGAGCCAGTCGAGTCAGCCGATCGAAATTCCAGCTCGATATCGATGAGGGCTAATGATGGTGATCAGATCATCAGGTGCCTCGGCAGTTGCTCCCCATTCATAATATCTCAATCTTTCGTTGATTTGTCACAACTTCTTTTACCATCTTTCGCATCCCATTCTCTCTCCATTGGTTGTATAATTTTTTCGAAAAGCTTAGCAAGCATTTAAATTGTTAAATAAATAAGTTAGGAGATGATGAGATCTTGTTTTTTTTTTTATAAGGGGAACTGGGGGATGTACCAAGCATTTTAAATGAACTATTATATCTATTTAATTTATTTAAAAAGTTTTCTCAGTGAGATCTCTAGCAACTTAATATCTTATTTAATAATAATCTCATATTTAATATGCACATAGAAAGCTTTAATCTTTACAATTAAATAACAATCGAAACAAATGAATATCTCCCTAGAAAAATCTTTAAAAATTCTTTTAAGAAAAGGGGTATTATATACCTAAGATTATAATAAGATCCTTTAGTTACAATATCCGTTTTAATACTTTAGCTTACCATAATATCTGGCTATAGTACCTCTCTAACCCAGATTAATTTCATCATTTCTTTCATGTATTTCAGTCTTTCGAAACTATATATTTTTGTATCTGAAACCTCCAAGTCTGTGGCACCTCCATCACCATGACTTACAACTTAAACACCGGTCACATGTGGCCCTGGCACCTTCTCTAATCTTAAGATCTGCCAACTCATGCTTGGAATGTGGATCCACCAATTTGCTGTCCGTCAGTCCGCCAGTTCATTTCTTGCCCCTCAACTAAAGGTGACTGTAGTAACTAATTCTCGAGCACTTAAATAGTTATATTTTTCTTAGTTGTTGTCTTCGAATAAATATTTCACCAGGCATGTGTGTGGGACTCTGTTGTTTTGCTTGATATGGCTCCGAGGTGTGAGTTCCCGATAAGCAACGTGACGCCGCCTCACGCGAGATAAATAGTAGCAGAAAGAGATGGCCAGCGGGACCAGGTGCGAAAGGGATGGCGGCACTATTTTTGCCAATAAAAATATGACATTGTAATGCGACTAACTAAAAAAAAAAACAAAAGGTGCCCCACAATTATCCTGATATAGATGTATGCCCATATATGTATGTACTACTGATAAGGCAGCGGCCCAGCCCCCAGAATGATATGTAGAATAGGAGAGTTAGTAGGTGTTGGTAATATCTTTCAGTTTCCAGGTCTGATGAAATAGTCAAGCATTATGAGAAAATTAAGAGATTAAACACCAATAACTTGAAGTACTTTTAGTAGGTGACACTATAAAACAAATAAGAAATATAATCATTTATATTGGGCGTCAAAGAAGCAACTAAAAAGGGTTTGACGTTTCTCTTTTAAGATTACAACAACAAATCAAGTGTGTTTTCTGAGGCAGACAAAGCATATATATTTGTTCACTTATTCGGTTTTGTTAGTTATATTTATTGCCCTCCTCTTGTTTATATATATATTAATATAAAGACTAGTTCAAAAATGATTAATTAAAATGAAAATTAAAGCAAAATATACCGAAAATAGGCTTTAGGCATTACATTTCCTATTCTAATTATAACTTTTCTGTCTTGAAATATTAAATGTAATGACTGACCCCAAATTCTTCCATATTTTCTTTTAATATCCATTATAATTCATCACTCCCCTAACTAATTATTGCATAAGCTCAAGTTTCCTTTTTATTCCAATTTCATTAACAAGAATTCTTGAATATTCATTAACATTCTGTGGCTTTGTAATCGTTGTAAACAAGCTGCCAACGTACACAACACTTTAGTTCATTATGTGGAATCAGACCTTAGTATGCATATACCCATTCTACAGACTTTTTTACGACCAACGATTGCCCCCAAAATAATGGCCGTTAATTTCAAATGAACTCAAGTCGTAAAAAGTGGTTTTTGTGGTATGGGTGGATTCTTTGATGGTTCTATGCCAACACTGAGCACTCCACTTAACTCTCTACTTGGAGCTGTGCCAGGCGGTGTCTGTTTTCCACCACGAGGGCTCTTTTTATCGGGGAAAATTTTCAGAAGCGGCTTGACTTGAAAAGGAAAAGAGGGTGGAAAAGCTACGGATAGGGTTGCTAAGACATTATGGAAATGTAAATTATAAATTTAAACAAGATATGTAAGCACTTGAAGTACAATAAAGATAATATAAAAACCATGTCAAATTTGGAGTATACCTTAAGGTTACAATTTTGACTTGTTAGTCTGATATGATACTTTTTTTTAAATTATTATTACATTTCAACTGTTTTGTAAATGAATTTATAAAATAATTCTTAAGCCTTAAAGTGACTTTCAAAGCTTTTTTTTGGTTAGACAAACATCTCAAAAATCACCCATCAAATCTCCCCCCTCTTTGAATTGTGGTAAATGTGTGGCTCGGTTTGTTTGTTTGCACGTTCATTCATAAACTCGTAAAAACTCGAAAACAAACAAAACCGCCAAACCGAAAAATTCCAATAAAGTTTTCATTAACACAAACACACAGTGTAAAGAAGCCGAAAATACCACGAAAATAGAAAACGCAACGAAAACGTTGGGAGATCCGTTTTCGAAAAAGCACCAAACATAAAACGTAACGAAGCATACCTAACAACAATCATAAAAAATAGAAGAAAAGAAAAAAACGATTCGAGGCCTAGCCCACAGGTAACCGAGCCCAATCGAAACCAAGTCGATCCCAAAAAAAAAAAAAAAAGAAAGAGACCATTACAACAGACACCTGCAAAAATGTTTAAATAATAAATGAAATGCCAGTGCGACGCAGTGTTGCCCTACAAGAAATTAACTCCGATACGTGAGCATTCAAAGTAAAACGACTTTTATACCTCAAAGCACACACATTCCACATTCCATACTCACGCACACTCAGCACACACACACACTCGAAGCTTTGGAGGCGGAGACGGAAATTCCATGATCATGACATATACCTTCTCGTCTCTTGGCGATGACAAACTTTTATCGCCCCCAAAAAAAAAAAAAAAACAGTCAACATAAATAATTTGTTTAACTTTTTAATAGCTAGTACATTGCCACCGAGTAATGACTCTAAAAATGATGTTAATATGATAAATCATAAGTGGGTTACATTAAGACAAAGTTTATGTAATGGTAAAGAGGTATTTAGGGAGGTTTATACTAAAAGGAATGAGTTTAAATGTTGTAGAAATTATATAATGCTTTAGAATTAGCATTTCTTACATAATACTATATAAAAAAACAATCTTTTTGGACCGGTATAAGCATATCAATAATAAATACACATATCGCAAAGCTCAACCCGATAACCAGCAACATATAGAATCTAATATAATAAGTCACAAGCCCAAAAGCAGAAATAACAATAAAGAAAACGTCAACTGATTAAAGGCAAAAATAAAAAATACCGATCTTTGTGCGTGAGCCAAGTCAGCGGCGACCAATCGGAGATGGCTAGCGATAACGATAACGATAACTATAGCAGCCAGGACTGTGATTTTATAATAAGCAATATTGGTTAAGACTAATAACTTTGTTAAAATGTATTACTTTCTTTACCTTTGAATCTGTGTATATAAAACATAATCTCTGCCCTTTTAATTACTAAAAATATATTTATAAATATTTCGCACGACAATCAAAGTTCCAATCTAGAGCTTCATAGAAACTACTTGAATATTCACGAAGCAAAAATCTCGTGACTTTCACTAGCAAATAATAAAGCCCAGTCTTTGGCCATCAATCACATGGGTGTAGACCGGTAAAGTGACTGGGGCCTTGTGACAATCCCAATAAGCCGTCACGTTCGAATCAAAATACATTGTTTATTGCACATTTTCAGGGCTCTACGTCTGCCCTCATATATGTACACTTTTTGTTTTTATCGGAAACTTCACACACGTCATCGTCGTATCAAATGTTGATTACCGGGCGATCCTTGACGTGATGTTGTTAGTATTATTATTATTTTTCCAGTTGCATTCAAGTATTAACTATTAATGCACACTCTCGCACCTTGCTCTCTCTCTGTGTGTATTTGTTCAATGAATTATTATTCAGGCATTGAATTTCACAATAACAATAACAAGATAAGAGCGAACATTACTACAGAGTGCGATTGTTCTACTAAAATTAATGATACGAACCCAAAGTTCATACAAACAATTTAGCGTTTAAAATTAGATTGTGAAATTTCTGAGAACTTTCGATTGATCACTTAGAAAGCACACCTATCACTATCACTACTATCTCCAAGGGGGAAACTATTTTTATATTTTAATCATTTAATTTAAAAATCATTGGCTGCACATACCTTCTTAGTAGGAAACCTTTTTGAAGAGATTGTTTTTCATCAAAGATTTCTGAAAGGAAAAGAAAAATCAAGTGTTAAAAATGATTTTTAATGGATTTATAAATTTGCAATGTTTATAATAATAAAAAATGGCTATATTTCCCCCCTTGGTTATCAATATTTGTAGCAAATATGTCTAACCGGAAGCTAGGAAAGAAATGCTCTATAATACAAAGGCTTCTATTGTTCGCCTTGACAGATATTTACACTCATAATTCACCACCGATTCAACAGTAGGTCAGGTGAGCTATATGGCCTGCAAGTGATATTTTCAACATTATTGCACATTGTGTCAATAATAACAAGGGAAAATGTTATAGTAAAGAGCCTCGACTCGATATACGAACTAGAGTTAAATGTAAAGCATTCATAGACGAACCCTTTTATTTCGCACTTCCTTGTTTGCAAATGATACTGCTGATTGTTCATTGTAAATATTGTCATAGTGAAACATGGAATTAAGAATTATTTATACCTCATTTCCTGTTGACCTTATATAATTATGATCAGAAGTTTGCACTGTAGAAATAGAGTCATTTCCGACTAAACATTCTAAAGTTTTTAAGCTATCTGGTTAAATTATTAAGCTTGCTGATGATATATGAAAATAAACAAGTATTTACAAATACGACCACAATGATTTTCTTTGTACTAATAAAGGTTACATTCCTAAGACGAAGGAGTCATTAATTACATTCCTTTCATACTACAATTTTTGAAATTATTTAAGTATCTAAATAAGAAATATAAAATAAATATAAACCGATATTATATTTCATAATTGGAAATTAATGGCAAACGATCAAATTACCTGGGTATAATTTAGAAATATATATATTTGATTTCTTTTTGATTTTTTCTGATCTTTCCTAAATAATCCTAAACACTCCAATATAAGGATAAAGAAAGGTTAATCCCAAAAATATGAAATAAATCCATAAATAATAATAAATATACACATTTTTGTCTAAAGTCCGTGTTCCTTAATAACTATTATTCACAATTGTGTTTTTTAAATATTTACCAACGATCATGTAGAGTATAAACTAATATTAAAACGTCACTTCAACATTAATTAGCTTTAATTAAAATCCGTTAACGCTTGAAATGTTTAAACATGAAAAAAGAAAACATGTTTTACCTTTCGATTGAAATCGTGCGAAAATATATATCGTGTTTCATAATGTTCAGGTAATTAAAGCTTGGGCAATCCCGGCGCTATTCCAACTCCAATAATTCAATGATTAATTATTATTGCTGAAGCAATTGCCCGGTAACTGTGTACGTATACTATATACATAAAACGAAGGCCTTGAGTTGGGAGTTCCGGTCAGATCAGCCAGCTAGCCAGCCCCCTTTTTTCCAGATCCTTTCTCTAGTTTGGTCTGGTTTTTTGTTTTTATTTCTGTTTAGTATTGGCTTGCGGTTGACAGGCACACAGCACAGAGCTTTAAATCCGCTTTTGGTTTATACCACATTTTTGTGGTTTTGTTATTTATCGGCGTGTTAAATAAACAAAGAGATACATGGAAGGCAAATACAAATAGACTTGAAATTATAGGATATACTTATCTATCACAAATTAATCGATAAATATGTATTCTTAGATATGTAATATATAATGTATAAAAGCCGGCAATAAGTTGCAATGCAACGATTTCTCTAATTTTGTATATTTTTATATAAAAAGTGTAACTATATTTTACTTATAATATTTTTGCCTTAATTTTAAATAGTTAAAAACATTTCTGAAGATATTTAATAACTTTCCAACGCTATTTGTTGTATTATTATAATAAATGTGTAAATATATCAATTTTAGTAAATCACAATTACTTGTATTTGCCCAAAAGCCAACCTATTTCATTGCTATATATTAATATTCATCTAAATAATTAAGTGAAAACTGTGCACAGTGTACACAAGTACGTGTTGTTGAATTGTTGAATGGAATGAATGAAAACCAACAACTACTACCAAAGCAGTGCCCGGACTACAACACACATGCACTGCTTGCTTGCTTGCTTGCTCGATCTCTATCTCTCTCTCGCATGTGTGAATGGAATATGCAGCTACATACGTAAACGGAAAAAACAACAATGACAAGCAAGAAAATTGAATGAAATTTGTAGTTCGTTCATTTATTTTTTTTTTTTGCGTGTAATGACATTTTCAAGCATTCGTTATTTCAAGTGCCAGTGTGTGAGTGTGTGTGCGTGGAATGCAAGTGAGTAAACAACAATAATTGTCAGCCGCAATAACAGAAATAACATTTCATATAAATTCCGATTTGATAAGCTTTCGTCTCTAATCTAGACAGGGGACTTTCCCCTCCTCTCTCCACTCGTTTGGGTTTTTTTTATTATTATTATTTGGGTTGGCCAACACACGTTTCTTTGCTTACTTTTATTATTTATGATACGTTTCCCCTGCGTTGTTGCTTAATTTCTTTTGATGGAATGGAATGCATTGCACAAGGCATTTCTCAGTGTATGTGTGTTTCGAGTTTGATTTGGCGTTTTAAAGTTATCAATGAATTCTACACACACATTCATACACTGGGAACGGAAGCATGAGTAGAGTAAATTTGTACTCGTATTATTGGATTTCATTCATAGCCAAGAGAGACCCCAATTTGGTTTGTCAGCAGGGGCTAAAGATTTTCCATCCACATTTACATTAAAAAATACAATAGTGGAACTTTGTAATAATACATTAATAATATAATATAATAGTATTAAATATTGACTATGGAAATATTTCACAATATGTTGACCTGTTTTGCTATTGCTATTGCTTTTTGCAAGAACCCTGTAATACAGACAATTTTAGGAATTTAACCTTATTATTTTTACAAAAATTGTATATACAAATTTACATTATAAATACCCTCTTACAACAATGTTGGATTGAGGAAAGTGTCACTGTATTTACCTTCCGAGGTCTGAATCCGGGTTAGATATGTTAAGCTTATCAGTTTCCTTATCTTTCCAGTTCCCTCCAACGAATTTTCCCCATTTTTTATTTATTTTTTTATTATTATTATATTTTGTGAATGAATATTTCCATTCAACAACTACAACAATAATAACAATTCAACAACCGCCCCCCATCCAATTCAACTGCAATTTCATTCCAATACCATTTGTGGATTCCAATTTCCAGTTCATTCATTTATTTATTCCCATCCATCGATATCTTTCGGGCTAAATCAGAACTTTGACGGGGGCCAGTCACAAGTCAAGCTAATTAATAACAAGCTATGGTCAAAAGAAAAAATAAAGAAAACAAAAATTCGACACCCCACCCTCCATATGTATATGTTTCCCTTGTGTGTTATCAGTTGAGATTCTCGCTCGTGCGCCCCCTCATCCTAGAATTTTTCCTCTTATTTATTTTTTTTTCTCCGCTCTCCGCCTGTCAAATTTGACATTTGCTATTGAACCGTTCATAAAACAGGCGCCAGACTGATTGGGCAAGATGATTTTTGCTCGAGTTTTTCTCCTCTGGTTTGTTTTGTTTTGCTTTGTTTTCTTGTTATGATTTATTAAACATTTATTTGGCTTAATGAATTAATTTGATTTTATTTCGACAGCGTAACGGAAATGTGTCTGTGTGTGCGTGTGTTGGGGCGCCAAAAAGGCGCCATTGCACGACGCAATTGTCAGAGATCGAGAGAGAAATGCATTTCAAAATAAAATCGAGGAAAATCACCAGGGAAAACCCCACAAAGCACTATCTGTTGAATGAATAAATATTATAATATAGTAATTAACTTAGTAAAATTGAGATTAGATGAGTTTTTGCTTATTTTGTAAGCCTGATTTCAGATGCTGCAACCATACTCATTACTTGATTTGCTTCTCATTGCTAATTTGCTTCTATATATACATTTATACTTTATATATTATTTCTAATTATTTTTTTATATAAAATCCAAAGCTAACAGCTTAAATTGACAAATATAAAACCTTGGAATTTTGTTATATCCTTATAGAGGCTATCAACTATAGATTAGCCATCTAAAACCACGTAAGAAATAAAAAAAAAGACAAATATCATTGAGAATTATATCAAATGAAATGTTTATCGAACTGATATTTTCTAAGTTGATTTCAAACTATAAAATATATGCTATTAAATAAAAATATTTTACTTAAGATCAGTTTTCCAGCTAGAGACTGTTATTGGGAGTATAAGAGCAGCAGGAAAAATCCATGAAATCATAAAATACAACGCAATACACTTTTACAAGTCTATGGAAAACATAAACAATATACGTAGACAGCAGCAACAACAACACCATGATCATCAACAAAGCTTAAATAGTTGTTAGGCTATTAAGTTCCGCTTAAATTGTTTTCACATCTACCTTATGCCCGCTCTATAGCTACAAATACAGGCATAGCTACAGATAGAGATGGAAATACATGCAGATACAGATACAGATACAAATACATAGAGCCCAAAAGCGCCAGAGGCGAAAAACTCTACAACAACAACTACAACAACATCAACAACTGGCATAAGAAGAACAAGAAAAAGCAAAGTGCGAGGCACAAAAGAACCTAATCAAGAGCAAAACGCCGCAAATAAAGCAATAAACAAGACACAATATTGTTTTCTTTTTTCCCCCTTGTCTTCCTTCTCCTTCCTTTTTTCTTCTTATTTACTTCGTGTCTTGCTCATGCCCAGGCAACAACTACAAGAACTACAACAACTACACCAACAAATACAACAACAATGAATAATAATACCAACAACAATGAAACGAGAGCGGTTTTCAAATAGCTACCCAAACAGTTCCAGTTTCCAAGTCTCTTCGGAACTCTCGAAGCCTGAATCTAGAAGCTCCAGTTCCATGCTTAATACAAAAAAAAGACAAAAGCAAAACACCGGTGACGGCTACAACAACAAACACCAAAACCTAAAGGTAAGCGAGTCGAGACGACAAACGCAGACATAGCAGCAGACAAACATAGCAAGTTGAATGAATATACGAGTATTTGTGC